CCCCAGCAGCAGCCCAGGGCTGTGCAGAGCAGGGCTGTTCATCAGCCCTGCACATCACCTTGAACATCACACCCATCCCACTGCACTGGTGCTGTGTTTATCCACAAGGGCGTGCACCCTTCAAATGGTGGAGATCTGCCATTTCTGATAGGTAACAGAATCAGAGGGTAAAAATGTGATTCTTCTTTCTGATTTGAATCTGTCTTCAGCTTCCAGCCCTTGTATCTGGTTTTGCCTTCTTCGCTGGATAAAAGAGCTCTTTAAGGAATTTCTTCCCTCATGAAGGTATTTTTATCCACCATGGTCAAAAGCATCTGTCCGTTCTTTTTGTGGTAAGCTAAATGGATTGAGCTCTTTAAGTCACTCGCTGGCAGGCATTTTCTGCCACAAATCATTTTTTTGTCTACTTTTTCTGCTCTGACTCTAAAATGTAGATGTCTGATTGCATACATTTTTCAAGTGTCATTCTTCTGATGCAGTGTGCAGGATAAGCTACCTCCTGGCTTCTATTTGCTTTTTATATTTAATATCCATTCGCTCACATGACACAGAACAGCACAGAAAATTATGTTTGTTCGTCTCTTTTACACATTCCCAACCCTGCTCTCCAGTCTATGTCTCTTGCAGCTTGTTGGGCAGTGCTTAGCTCAGAGATGTGGAATGCCCATCCTCTGTTGATTCCTGCCAGTAGCTGCCTGGAACAGCCCCCTTTTCCCTGAGGTGCCACTTTGGCCCCCGGCCTTCAGCAGGAGCAGAGCTGGCTCCTCCAAATACACCAGTCTGTGCACAGAGGGATGGACAATGGGCAGGCCTGGGTGTCCCCACCTGGCTCCTGGGGCTTCAGCTGGTGCTCGTTCTGCTTGTTCTGCAAGGAAATTGCGTGATTGCTTTTGGCTGCAGTTGGGGGATTGAATGACATGTGCAAGGAATAAATCACCGCATGATAAGGAAGAGGCACGAAAGATTTGAGACAAAGAGGAAAATGTCGTTTCCACTTCCCTTTGTTATCATTTTACTGTGCATAACTGTACATATCACACATATGTTACTCTGAGCTCCTGCAGAGTATTCCATCACACCAGCAGAGCCCTGGAAATTCACTGGGAGGACACAGGATTTATCTTCCTGCTGCTTAACTAAGGATTGGCTTATCCATAGGGGGCAACTCCTGTGGAGGCATTAAGTGAGCAGTCAGATCCCTGCACAAGTTCATCTTGCCCTGCACCTGTCCAAACCTACAGGCCTGTCCAGGTGTGCTGTGCTGACCATTTGGAACTGCTGACCATTTGGAAATGTTGGCCATTTGGTCACATTCCAGCTCTGGGAACAGGCAGCTCTTTGGCTCCTTCAATCCCTGCTTTTGTTCCCAGGGGCCAAGCTCTTAATTCTGTCCTGGGCTGCCTTAAAAGTGGGCAGCTGAGGCTGCAGGGGCAGGAGGGCTGCCGGGAGGCTGATGCAGGGCCTGAACCTGCTCTGTGTCACAGCTGAGGCCCTTGGCACCATTGTCCCTTTATGTTAGCAGCCCTTGGCCTCACCTGTGCCTGGGCGAGGGCCCTGCAGTGAGCTGCAGCACCGCTGCTCCCCGCTGGAATGCCTGTGACTCTGCTGAGCCACGGCGAGCAGGAGAGAGCTGTCTGCAGCCTGAGAGCAGCACACAGCGGCTTTGCATGGCGTTAAACAGAACCAGAGCGACAAGTGAGAAATCAAATTGTACCACTTTCCCAGATAGCATGAGCTGAGAACACAATCTGTGTTTCCACTTCCAGGGCATCTTGTCACCGTCCTCAGGGACCAGCTGCCCACAGAGCAGCCTGGGCACAGGGCAGGAGCTGGGCAGTGCCCTTGCTGCTGCAGATCCCTGGAGTTGCAGGGTGAGCCAAGCTGTGTGCATGGGCACATCAGAGGGGTGAGATGCAGCCACAGGCTGGGGGCTGATGGGGGTGTCTGGAGTGCAGCAAGAGGCAGCAGTGCCGGTTGGTGGAGAGAGGAAAAGGCATAGGGTGTAGGAAGGAGAAAGGGATAGCGAAGAATGAGGAGGAGGAGCAGGAAGGCTCAGGGTGCAGTAGGAGGATGTGGGAACAGTCAGGCAGAGCAGGAGCAAAAAGGGCTGTCAGTGAAGCTTGCATTAGTTTGGGTTTTAAGCTCTGTAAATGTGAAGGTGCTGCACTCAGCCTGAGTTGTTTGACTCAGTGTTCAGCCCCTGTGTGAGGCTGCGTCTGGGTCTGGAGCTGCCATGGCTTGCAGCAGGCAGCCCTGTGGAGCACAGTGCTGCTCCCTCCGTGCCCAGCTCCTGCCACACTGCCAGGTGCCATCTCCCCTTGGAGCACAACAGCAGCAGTGCCAGCTGCAGGGCTACAGCTCTGGGGACAGAGCTCTGCTCCAGGGGCTGGGGAGCATTTTCCTGCAGACACTCTTTGCCTGGGCTGTGCTCTTATTTACAGGACACACAATGCAGAGCTGCTCCCAGTGATCTCAGAAGGGCTCTTCAGCATCGGTTGGGAAGAGTTTTTGCCAAGAACAAAATGAAAAGGTGAAGAAATGTTCTAGGCAGGAGGGTGGTCTAGATGAAGGACTGGCTTTAAGAGCAACAGGAAGTTTTCATGATGTACCTCGAAATGACTGAACACACAACACTGGAAGTGACACCTGTGTGCTAATCTTCTGTTTCCTTCAGCTGCTGCCCAGTTCACCGGGCTCACGTCAGCTGGTGGGGCTCCTTTCAAAACTGTCTTCCTTTTAACCTCCAGCATTAATTTATAACATAATTCATCAGAGAATGGAGTGCTTTCTGTGTGGAGTGAGCTGTCCCTCAGCTGTACCTGTGTGTGCATTGGGAGCCAGGACAGGAGCTCTGTAGGAAGGTTTGTTTTTAGGCAATTCAGAGAGGACTTGGGCTGCAGCCCCAAAGGCAGCTGAGCACTGAAGCTAGCAGAGGAAGCTCCAAGGGATGTCACAGCATGCCCCTCGGCTCCGGGGGCTTCCCCCTCCTTTTTCTTCACCTTGTGGTGGCTGCAGCAAAGGCTCCATTATTTGGCAGCATGGCCTTGCTTTTGTCTATAAATGGAAGCAGTTGGCCATGATCCCAATATAACACAGGATAGTCCTGTGCACCAGTTATGCAACTGGGAGCTTGATGACTTCATCAGAAGCTGGGGGAGGGCCAGGGGTGGTAGGAAAAGGCTTTTGCCATCAGCTCTGCTGGAGACAGCCAATAAATGTGTGTGTTCCCCCAAAGCAAAGCAAGTAGGAGCTCAGCAACAGGGGTGGGTTTGATGAAGGGTTTGCTGCAGGAGCAGCCGAGGGATCCTCAGTGATTCCTGGACCTCAGCTTGGGGCAGACCCAGCCACTGCTGCAGCCCTGGCCTTAGGGTGCTGCAGGGACTGTGCTGGACCAGGCTGTAAAATGCAAAGTGGGTGATGTGACTGGGGGAGAAGTAGAAAGAGGAACAGGGAGAGAACTTTCAAGCCAATATAGATGTTAAAAGGGAAAGAACCTAAATATTGGAGAGCTGCCTTTCAGCAGAGCCCTTCAGGGAGTATCTGTGAAAAGTAGAGATGTGGACAAATTGTATTTGTTATTTCCATGGGAGAGTCCTTGAAAACCCGACCCTCATGCAGAAAGGCTGACCCTCATTTCCCAAGGTACACTCCAGCATTGAACTTAACCCTTTCCCTGAGTGGGTGGCGTGGGTGCTGCAAGATGCCCTTTCTGTACACCCAGATCACACAGTGATGGCAAAACTCAAAAGCCAGCGAGGCAGGTGAATCCAGACCTCACCCTGGCAGGCCTTGCACAAAGGATGCTAAAGCGATACAGATCCTTTCCATCGAGTTGGTGGCTTTGAATAAGTACCTGCCGTCTCTATTCATCGGTTAAAGAGGTTCTACGGGCTCTTATCACCCGAGATAGGGACCGGGCCCGCAGTTTGCAAACACGGCATCGAGAGCGGCGTGGTGCGAGCCGAGCCCCCAGCGAGCGCTGGCGGTGAGGCCGGTTTGCCCGGGCCGCGGGACAGCCAGCCTGGGGCAGGGGGGCTCGCAGAGTCCCGGGAATGCTCCGGAGGCCGGCAGCGAGTCCCGGGAACGCTCCCGAGGCCCCGGGAAGCGGCGGCACCGCTCGGCTCCACCCGGGCCGGGCCGCGGGTCAGCAGCGCCACCTGCCGGCAGCGCCGGGACACCGCTCCGTTTTCCTTCCTTTTCCTTCCTTCCTTCCTTTTCCTTCCTTCCTTCCTTCCTTTTCCTTCCTTCCTTCCTTCCTTCCTTCCTTCCTTCCTTCCTTCCTCCCTTCCCTCCCTCCCTTCGGGACGTGCATGGGATTTCCCTCCCTCCTGACCTTTCCTCAGTGCTTTTCCCAGCACTAAAAGGCAGCAAATTGGATTCAGAACACGAAGAGAGAGTGGCGTGTGTGCAGGGAAGGCGCTTGCCCTGAGTCCTCCCAGCCACACACACTGGTGCAGTGCTGCAGGATGGAAATCTTGAATAAAGACATAAAGGAGTTAAATCCTGAGGCTCTGGAGAGGAATTAGTGCTGCCAGCTCCCACTGTTCATTGTGTGTGCCCAACACCTTGGCTCCTCAATCCAGGGGGCCATGGTAAATTGCTATGTTAAATGAAGAGAGGGAAACTGAAAGGAAGAGAAAATATAACATTCTACTTGAGAAAGGAGAAAAAGTTTAGAAAAACATTACTCTGAAGCAGGGAAAAAACTTAGCTCACAACTTCATTGTTTCACTAGTAATTAATTATAAAGTGCTCCTGCTTTACTTGAGGGGCTTTGAATTACAGGAGAAAAGGGGAACCTATTCCCTGTGGGGAGCAGTCCATGGCTTGTTCTCCAAGCTCCAGGCTTCACACACAGCCTGTGTGCCACCTCAGCCTGGAGAGCTGCATTCCCTGCCTATGCAGCAGCCGTTAATGAGGCACTCCCTGTCTCTGTCTCTGTGCACAGGAGCACCAGGCAGTACAGTAACAATGCATTCCCTCTCTCTCTCTGTGCACAGGAGCACCAGGCAGGAGTGCCGCGGCCCCTGCAGCCGGCGGGCTCCAGCAGCATGGGCACAGGCTCCAGCCCCGGGGGACACTTCCTGGGCAGCCAGCCCCAGGCAGCCCTCATGAAGCAGATGCTGATGGAGCAGAGGGCGCAGCTCCACGTGATGGAGCAGCAGAAGCAGCAGTTTCTCCGGGAGCAGAGACAGCAGCAGCAGCAGCAGCAGCAGCAGATCCTGGCGGAGCAGGTACGGTATCCATCTGTCTCCAGAGCATCTAGCACCAGCTCTTCCTTCTAGATTTGGGAATTATCTCTGTGGGTCCTGTCAGGGTATTTCAGCAATGCTTGTCAAAGAAGAGGCAACAATCAGCCCTACCATTAGCTTGGCAAATATTACCCGTTTTTCCAATAGTCACATTGGATTTTAGGCACTGGAAAAGTTAGCTCTTAACCTGGCATCTAGTGGTGCACTTAGTCCAGCAGAGGCAGACTCAGCTGCAGTTACAGTCACGGGTCCTCTCCCCTGCATTTGGCAGTCACCACTCCCCAAATATCATTCACTGAAGCACAAGAGGGAATGTGCCTTAGTAATCCCTTTCTGTTTTGGCTCAGGAATGCTCCAAGGCTGCAGTGCTTGGGTCAGGATGCAGTAATGCTTGCAGCTGAGTGTTATAAGTGCAGACATGGAGCAAAGCCTTGCACCAGGAGCTCAAGCCTCTAGACCTTGGCAGGGCTGAGGGAAAGAAGGTGTGTGTGTGGCTACAGCTGCCCTTAGACTTAGATGGGCAAAGTTAATTCATATCCCTCCCTCTCCTTTCTGCCTGAAGACAGTTCAGCTCGTGCTGTAGAGGTCAGGGTGAAATGGCTGTAAGCAAGGAGTGATGATGGTGTTGGCCTCAGTGCATGTTCCTTTTTGAGCCAAAAAGAGTCTGAGTGCTGAGTAGCCCAGGTGCTCTGAGGAGGACTCCAGATGACTCTGCCTGTCTCTCCAGAACACCTCACCAAATAAGAACCACTGCAGGTTCTGCAGTTTTGCCACCAGCCTGTTAATTAATTAATCATCTCTTCCTCTTCTGCTTTGTTTCTGTCCTTCATTTTCAGCAGATGCAGCAGCAGTCACATTTGCCTCGGCAGCATTTGCATCAGCAGCGAAGCCCATATCCAGTGCAACAGGTCAACCAATTCCAAGGTAAAAGTCCAGTTGTTTTTCCTGTTTTAGAGTCAATGCCCTAAAGGTAGCAAATGTGTGAAGGCTTATGCAGTTTGTGACTACCAGGTTTAAAGCAGTGTGCCAGAAGAGGAATACAGGCTGTTGCACACACCACATATTTTACCAAAGACAAATGCCCAAGTTTGCATATTCAGTTAAGTTTGTATTTTCCTTTCTGCTCTCTTCAGTGAAAACTGCTTGTTTTTTCTTTTTTTCCCCCTTTTTTCCCCCCCCTTTTTTTTAATGACATTTGTTTTGCCTCTTTAACATCCAGATGTCATGGATTCATTCATAGATTTATCTTGTTGACCCCTACTCTTATGGGTTTTTTTCCTGCTAGCATTTCTGAGTTTATCTTGGTTTTGCCCCTCCTTCATTCCCCACTTTATCTAATTCAACGAGCAGAGAATTTAAGAGAGGTCATCCTTATCTAGAGAAGAGACTGATAAATGTCAGGTGTGGGAAACACAGTAAAATATATGAGATGTAAATAGAGGGTTTTTTAAATTATCTCAAAAAAAGCACAAGTATTATTTTGATGTGCTCCTAGGTAACTGAAGGATGTAAGTGCACTCATTTTGGCTTAGGAAAAGAAGTTAATTCTGAGCTTTTTAGGTGAAAAGCATCAGCTGAAGTCTTCACTAACCATGATTTCTATATAGACATTAAATGAACACACACTTGTGCTGTATATTCATGGTAATACCATGTAGATGCAACAGAAAACAAGGGAGGCAGTTCTGGACATTCCAGATTGCCATTCTGGTTCCCAGGATGTGAACAGGCAGCCACATCTTCTGCTGGCATATATCAGGGTGGCCTCTTCTAATCACATCCTCATTTTTATCTTTGGCACCATAAGTTCTGTATGGAATTACTTTTTTCCCCAATAATTCATTTCCAAAATCAAGAAGTGTGAGTGCACAGCCATCCACTGAGATGCATACATACAATCTCTCTGCATTCATGCTTCTTTGAAACACTGCCTTTGCATGTATTATTTAAAATAAAGAGAGAAGAGTTTAGGCTAATCTGACAGAGCAATGAGTTCATTTTCATAAATGAACTAATTTAAATAGTTCACCATTTCTTCCTTTTTAGTCACATGAATGTAATCCAGTGCAGTAGGTTATGTGTAAATGAGACCAGAAGGTGGCCTAAAACCTTGGCATCTGTTGCAACTCTCATTTAACTACTCCTTGTCTGATCTCCCGTCACTTATGCCACGTACAGTAGTTAACAAAAGTAGTATGTGAGCCTCTTGCTGTTAGTGACTCTTTTGGAGCTTTTCAACTGCCATTCTCAATTAAAAAATAGCTAAAGATGCATTAAGATTTTTACATTATCTGTATCTTAAGCACTTGCTCGAGTCATCATAAAAAGACTTTTTCTAATCATAAAAACAGCTGATCTAAGTTAAGAAAAATGGGAACCCCAGTGCCAATCATTAAAAAAGCAGTTTGATAGCATGAATAAAGTAAAAGCTGCCACTACACATGGCCTGTTCCAGTGAGATCCAGATGGTCTCACTTCATGCTACAAAATGTTTCATTTCCAGCTGTGTGTTGGAGCTAAAAGCATCCACCAGAAGCTTGTGGTGCTGCAGAAAATGGAGTTGTAGCCATCCTCTGTTATATAATAGAATTACATGTATAGAAATGGTGCTTCCTTTATCCACCTGTTTCTCATGGAAACCAAGCCAGCATCAATAACAGGGACCAGTGTTCTGTTGTCTGCCACTGAGGGACAACCAATAGGAGCTGATTTAAGAACATTCAGATTCTGTTGTACGGTTCTGAACCCTTAAGCAATGATTTCATATTTATACCTGGCATTTAATAACATTTGGGCCTGCAGAAGTTGTGTGCCTCAGACACTCTGAGCTTCACCTGCAGAGTGTTGTATTTAGTCAGTGACTCAAATCTGCAGAATCTGACTATTTAGTTAGTGACTCTGACTGGTGTATTTGGTAGTGACTCAAATCCACAATGGACCCATGGTGTAATCTGAGCTCCAGGTAACTGTCTTTATTTAAAGATAGTAAATATAGAAGCATATTGGCTTCCCAGAAATCAATAGCTCTCCCCTACCCGTGAAAGTAAGACACAAGCATGGTTAAGTTATCTGTCACGGTGTGGAATTTAACAAGGCTAGGATCTTCTGGTTTCCCATCACTGGCCTAAGGTGAAGTAAAATGTGCTTATAGTATTGATTCACTAATACACTCTCCCTGCTTTAAATGTCCACAAAAACCCGATTTTTCTTCTTTCCATAGAATTAATCAGTAGCTATGCTATAGAAAATCCATTCATTAATGCCTCCTGAGCTATTAAAAGAATTGATTGGCCTTCTGAGACTGACATTTCCATTTTCAAGGCTTAGTTTTGAACGACAATGAAGATATTTAATGGAAACCTTCAAATGGTAAAGTGAAGTTCAGCTGCTTCAAAGAAGACCCATGGAAGTTTTTCCATTTGCTTACTAGAAGCTGAATTAGGTGTAGCTGAAGAAGATAAATGCTGCTGAGGATGCTCCTACAGATTGTCTCTTATGCAAAAGTGCGTTAATTAAGATTTGCAGGTCTGTGGGCTTTTCCTTACCTTCCTCCCTTTTTGGTGCAGGTTCACCCCAGGATATGGTGGCTGTGAGGAACCAGGTAGCCCTGCAGAGCATGAGAACATCCCGAATGATGGCCCAGAATGCGAGCATGATGGCCATGGGTGCCTCCCAGAGCTCCAGCACGCTGCTCACCACGGCAGGCCAGTCGGATGTGGGAGTGACTCCTTACAGCAACGCCTCTGCCAGCCAGCCAGGAATGTACAGCATCAGCACGGGCATGAGCCAAGTGTTGCAGCACCCAAACCAAAGTGGCATGAACCTGGCGCAGAGCACGGGCCAGGGGGCACAGCAGGCTGCCTCTGGACAAGCAGTGGGAATGGTTGGAAGTTTTGGTCAGAACATGCTGGTGAACTCTGCTCTTCCCCAGCATCAGCAGCAGATGAAAGGACCTGTGGGCCAGGGCTTGCCGAGGCCGCAAGCGCCACGACTTCAGAACCTGATGGGGCCTGTCCCTCAGGGAGCACAGAGCTGGCAGCAGCGAGGCCTGCACGGCGTACCTGGCAGGACTAGTGGCGACATGGGGCCCTTCAGCAACGGCACCGCGTACGCCGTGCCAGCGGGGCAGCCGCGGGTGCCCAAGCAGCACTTCCCTCAGGGCCTCAGCCAGACTGTCATGGACTCAAGCGGCACCGTGAGGGCCGTGAACCCGGCCCTGGGGAGGCCACTGCTGCAGCCCCTGCCTGGGCAGCAGGCAGGCAGCCAGGCCAGGCCCGTGGGGATGCCAGCAATGAGCCAAGGGGTGCCTGCCATGCCGGGCTTCAGCCAGCCCCCAACGCAGCAAATGCCAGCTGGAACCTTTGCTCAGAGCAGCCGAGGCCCGGCCTATGAGAGGAATCCCACTCAGGACATATCTTACAACTACAGTAATGGAGGAGCAGGGGGGTCATTCTCCAGTTTAGCAGAGGGCACAGACCTTGTGGACTCCATTATTAAAAGCGGACCAGGGGATGAGTGGATTCAAGAACTTGATGAGTTGTTTGGAAACCCCCAGTGAATGGGATTGTATAGTCTGGAGCTTTGGTTATGTTTTGTTACGCTTGAACAAGCAAAGAGGAAGTCAGATGTTCTCCCCATCCCTGCATTGTTGGTTTTTGTGTTGGTTTGGGGTTATTTTGGGGTGTTTTTGTTTTTAACTGTACAAACCAAGCTGATCTGTAGCCAACTTTGGAAGATTCAGGGGACGATGAAAACATCAACATCCCAAAACTGTCACCAAGCAATCCTTGTTGTGTGGCAGTGCCCACTCTCTGTGTGTGTGCGCGTGTGTCAGAATGGAGAAACTGGAAAAGCCAGCTGATGTGTGTGGCTGGGAAGATTCCTTCTCCCCCCACTCAAAACAAGGCTTCATTGCACAGTGGTGAGGGGGGTCCTGGTACGTCCCATCTCTTCTGACTGTGCACATTGCAGCTTCCAGGGAAGCAGAGGGAAGAGCTGGGAGCAAAGCCTGCTGACACTCAGGGGTGATAGCACAGCCCTGGTCAGAAATGGGGCAAACAGGTCTGGGGCAGCCATGGCCAGGCCGATGGGGCTGGCTGGGCTGTCCTGAGGAAATGCACAACACTCACATGGCAAACCTAAACAGTCACAGGGAGGTCACCGTTTTCACTGCACAGTGATAAACCCCACTGCAAGTGCAGAAGAACATAAATCTGGCAGTGTTGTGAGGGCAGATTGATTATGTGACTGCTGCTGGGGACAGCCCAGTGCTGGGTTAACTTAATGAACTGCTTAGTCCCCTTGGGACTTGAAATAATGTTTCCCAAGCCAGAGCACTTGGCATGGCCCAGCTGTCTGGGCTGCTGAAGGGCTGAGAGGTACCAAGGGGCATTAGCAGAGCTCCTCACTGGTGCCTCCCTCTGCTTCCTCCCCAGGGTGCTCTCAGTTCCCTCCCTTCCCCTCCTGCTCCTGCAGTGTGAAGCCAGCTGAGCTGGCTGCACTTTGTTTTCAGGCAAGCCACAGAGGGCCAGGCAGGGGAGGATAAAACAGGCATGAGAAAACACACAGGGAGGGTTTGGCACACAGGAAGACCTTCTCCTCCCCTCTTGAAAAGCCCAGGTTTGGCAGGTAGCACTACCCCACGGTGTCTGGGCTCTCAATGTGATACATTCAGTTTTAAACAGATGTTTGGTCTAATCTCTCTGGTTTGCTGGAATAAAATTCACTGCAGTACTTGAAGAACAGGAGTCAGTGAGGGACTACTGTAAAGAACATTCATGAGTGGGTAAAATAATTGATATTGCAAGCATGGGATCTGCCCCAATAAGGTTTTAGATAATAAGGATGTATCACTGTCTCCACTGTTTGGACCTGTGATGAAGTTGTTATAGATCTCACACAACATTGAAGTCACCAGCCATTCTGAGTGTGTACAGCAGGTTCCCAAACTGCAGTTGGAGGCTGTTTTCTGGAACCCATTGCCTCTGTAGTGTTTTCAGCTGAGGGCTGCGTATCAGGTTATGTAGTTGTGCATATAAAAAATGTTAACATGACCCACAGTCCAGAGCTGTAGCACCCTGTGGCCCAGTGCTGGCCTCTGAGAGCCATGAGCTGTGCTCTGCAGCAGTGTGCCAGTGCCCATCCCAATTCCCCAGCTCCTGGTCACCTCCCTTTGTGCTGTTCTCCCTGGCCACAGCAGTGCCAAGTGTTGAGCCCCTGAGTTCCAGGGAGGCTAAGGGCCTTGGCACTGGGCACTTTCATGTCCTGCCTTTCCCCGTGGAGCACAGACAGGCATCACATTAAAGAGGGAGAGCAGATGAGTCTGGAACCATCTTCTGTGCCCCCTTGAGGCTCCCTTTTGAGCAATTTCCCTTGCTGGGCTTGCCTAGTGGGGGGAATCACCTGTTCTGAATGCTGCGAGGCAGCAGGACAAGCTGCATTTTTAATGTGCTAAAGATGAGCCACCAATCCAACCTGCCCTGGCTGCTACATTTTTTAAAATGGCTTTAATCTCATCTCTTTTAGCTGACCCCTTTATAAAATACAGCACAAGGGCCAATCCCAGTTCCTGCTGAGGATGATGAGCATGATTAGCATGCCTGCTGCTTCAGTAGGAGCCAGGTTGGGCCCTGATTCATTGGAAGGGAGCACCAGGAGAGTTTTTGGTTCATCCTGTGGGTCAGCATCTTCTGGGCAGACTGGAAGGGACAGGCAGACCCTGGGAGGAGCCCACCAGGGCTCACCTCCCAGCACAGAGGTGGAAAGGGGAACAGAAACACGCACCCACCACACAGCTGCCAATGCAAGCCCGTGTGCACTGGGGAGATACAGGCCCTGGTGATGAATGGTGGTCAAGGCGAGTCTCTGTTGTCTTTGTAAAGCTTCCTCCAAATACTCCACACTGGGATCAAGTACTAGAGAACAGATTTTATTAGATTCGGGTTGATTGGGCTTTTTTTTCTTTCTTTCTTACTATGGTGCTGATGTACATGTAATGTTTTAAAAGAAGTCACTTGTAAATATGTTTTTACAATTCTACAGATATCACTGGGTCTACTATCTGTAAAATATATACATATAAATATATATATATAAATATATATATATACTGTTTGTTTAAAATAGAGTATTTTTATTTCATTCCTTGACTCATCCTTACTGCAGTGGTATTGCACTTCAGATGACATCTAATTACTAATTTGTACTGTATCCCTGACAGCAACTTGCTCCATTTTATTCAGATTTTTCTAGTTTTCTGGTTTTACTTTGTACATTAAGCATTGCTTATTTCCTTTTGAGACCTGTACAGAGTCTGAAAACATAGAAAAACACCTGATGTTGCTTTTAAAGAAAAAGAAACAAAACAAAAAACAAAAGAAACAAAACAAAAAGCCAACCAAACAAATAAAAGATGGTTATATGAGTCATATACCTGGCGTATATGGATCATGTCTTGCACCTCAGTGAGCAATCTTGCATGGAGGGGAGGGAAGCTGCATGCAGGTGGGTCTGAATCAGCAAAAATAGGGAGTGGGGAGGTGCTTCCAGGGGGGAAACAAGGTGGAGACGAGGTGGGGAGGGAGAAGGGAAACGCGTAGCTGGACAGAAAAGTTGGAGAAAGGAGAAGGAAAACTGGAGAAGGATAAAGACACAGGCTTAGGGTAATTCCCTATCACCTACCACTGCAACAATGTGAGAATTGTGTTGTCAGAAGCCTTTAGGAATGTGCACGTAGATCTGTTGGACATGTTGGACATGTATTGCCTGTCCATACATGGAGAGAGGAGGTAAGGCGAGGAAGAGAAGAGAAGGTAAAACATCAAAGCACTATAACAGGTAAGGTTGGAATAATTTCAGAGGCAAAGAAAGACCCATTTGAATCAGTAGATGGGCTTTGGACCTCCTCTAGTCTGTATTTTGGCTCCGTTACATAGTTTGGAGCAAAGCACATGCCCACAAGGTGAGCATCAAAACTCTCCTCTCTCCTGGCCTGCAGCACATGCACATCCCAACTGGGGCTTCTGCTCTAACACCCAGCCCTCTGCCCTGAGGGCTGCCAGACCCATTGCATTCAATTATAATCACTTTTCACTGCCAGCCCTTGGCTTTCAGCCCAGCTGCAGACCACAGCCTGGAGCTGTTAACCTGCATCCAGTTGGGAACCTCTTACCTTCCTTTCACAGACTGGACAGAACCATGGAAGTACTTGTACAGCATACTCCAAAAGGAAGCTAATTCTAAGAAAGAAAAGATTAATATGGTGGGGGAAAACAAAAAAAAAAATGAGGATTGTAGACAGTTAACCACTCTAGTTATGTTTTCTAGTTATATTGCTTTGGGAATTTTTACAGCTACCCATAATGTGGGAAGTTACCTTGGGAAAGAATCATTCAAAAGAGATATAAGTATTCTTACACAGTCACTGCAAGAGGCTCTTTCTATGGGTTTACAGATAGGGGTGGATGTAGGACTGCCCAAAAATATCCAAAAGCATTCCTTCAAAGGGACATCTCAAGAACGGACAGGAATCCTAATCCCCCCAGTTTGGTCATTATCCCAGGAACAGGACAGTGGGTGGAAGCACTGTGGCTTGACCCAGCTCTGTCATTTTGTATTATTATGGCAGTTTGTGCTAAGGGGGGTGTTTGTTTTGGGGAGAGAATCCTGCTTATGTTGTTAATAACCTGCTTTGCATTTATATAGCAGCTTTTATCCAAGGACAGGGAAGGAAACTGTAGTGAAGTCAGCTTTCTGACCTCCCTGAGGGAAGAGTATAAAGTCACCTCCACTTGATTGATGGCAGGGTATGGAGGTCAGTTGTGTTATCCAGGACTAAGCAGTGCTTGTTAATTTTGTGGTTTGAACCTCTGTGTGTGTATTATAGAGCTTTCACTGCGTGCTGGATTAACTCCTGTAAATATACCTGTGGGACACAGCTGAAACATTACTTCAAGGGAAGGTTATCATGATCTTTCATTTCTCACATGTGACAGCACCTGTGTTGCTGGCTAGCAGCTGTGATCTTCCCTGATTCAAGTGTCTGTCCATGAGTACGTGTGTTATTTCATATCATTTTGTTGACTTAAGTGGTGCTTCTTTGAATTTGCAGTGGAGATGGGACTGTAAGAAAGCCCCAAACAAAAAATTAATGGTTTGGAGCAGAGAGAAATGGAGAAGTTGTTTAGGAAGGAGAGGAATATGGACATGAGCTGGTTATCCTTTCACCAGCCCACAGATTTCATGCTTCTAAAACATTAGTTGGGAAAGGGTTAATAATAACTGTCCCAAGTTTTACTCTATGAGAGCTCCCTGGTTTGGAGAGAGAAGGGAAAGCTGGTGGGGCTCTGTGAAATGCCATGGGGATTTCAGTGTCACTGAGTGTTCTTCTAGGAAGGCTGTGTTAATTAAAAGCAGGGGAAAAGATGTCTACAGTCAATTACTTCCTGATAATCCCAACATTTTAAAAAGTTATGTAAAACTTGTCAGTCCAAGATAAAAGCAGAAAGTATTTACCTTGATTGAAAAACATCCTGCAGTCCAGAGCCAGTCAGGAATATTGGGTAAAACTTCACACAGTTTTGTCTGCAGAATAAATTTGAACGAACATTAGTCTGGAAAGGAAAAGAGCTGTGGGTGGGATTTTCAAGGAGAGTCATCTTTGGCCTTGTTTGGTGCCACCAAAGTTAATGCTAAAGTCATATCCAGTGGGAGTACTGTCAAGCCAGCACTAGGTACTCTTAAAATTTCTCATTTTTGAAATCTTTGTACAAGCTCTTTAAAATATTTTCCTGGCATTTAAACTTAGGCATGGATCTGGATCCCAAC